GGAAGGCGCTGACTGCTATACCTGTCCAGAGAACACTGGCCATTGTGGGAGTGGGGTTGATTCTGTCCAGAGCCAGACCAATGCAAAGGACTCTGCGACTGTGGTGGTCGGAGTGGCGGAGGTAGCCCTCGAGGGAAATGAGGTGGTCCTTAGAGGATTGCAAAAGATTCCTCTTCCTAGAGGAGAGAAGCCTGCCCAGACCTGCTCTGATGAGGCTGTGTCTTGGCGGTTTGGGCTTTGGGCAGGGTCCTCCCAGCAGTTGCTAAGCCTGTTTCTCTTTTCATGCACACAGTTTGCACTGGATTATAAAGCCTCCCTCCCACCCTCCATCCCCACCCCTTGCCTCTCTGTTGGTGCTTGTTTTTCATCTTTTGTTCTGAGAGAAGCCTCTCTAAGACAGCCACAGCCGCTGCTCAGTCTGGTCTGTCCTGCCTCCCCAGCCTCCTCTGGGCTGCTCCTCACCCCTTCTCTCTGCGCTGCAGCCCCTCTGGCCTTCCTCTGCCCTTGGGCTCTGAGTGAGGCCTCCTGCCACAGGGCTCTTGCTCACATTCTTCTGTCTGTGACACTCCTCCCCTTTACCTTGTAAACCAATTTGTAAAACAATATATGGCCTCTCTTCCTGTTTCATTTGCTGTTTGGCAAAAGTGAAATGCCTAATGCTGTAAGTGGCAACTAACTTCCTCCAGGAATGGGGCCGCTTGGGTCTCCATAGCAGACTGGCAGACTGAAGAGGAGATGACCCTGTATTTCAGGAGAAAGACATAGTATCAACCTGGTATTGCAGTGCAATGCTTCTCCCTTTCTTTCTTTTCTTCTTTCCTTTTTTTCGGGTCTTTTCATAGGGTGCATACTCTCGCCAGAGAGACAGACAGAGATAGTGAGAGGGAAGGTGGGAAATCACCCCCAATGGGGTATGACCGTGCTATAATCCCTTCTCTTCCATTCTCCTCCCTGGATTTTGGGCATGCACACATACGTGCCCAGCATGATTTTCAAGCAACTGGGTCCAGGGCTTGAACAGTGATAGGCCATGTGGGGTCTAGCACCTTAGCCATCATGCCACCTGCTGGCCCCACAGTTTTTCTATTTTTCCAGGTTTCCAGATATAATTTTCCATTCGGGGATGCTTAGTTTGTAAATGAATTCTGTTGTGTCTGCAAGAACTGATAATTTATCACTGCAGGTTTTATAAATTAATGAAGGAGCAGAACGAATGTTATCATTCCTTTTGCAGCTGGCACTTGTGAGTAGCTATGAAGCGGTCATGTGATCCTTTGTCATAAAGCGGCAGCAGAGTTGATGTGAGAAGCTGGTGTCATAGAGTGACTCTGACAGCGCCGTCACAGGACGTTGACTGCTTCCTCAGCTCAGGAACCTTCCCTGAGCTCTGCCGAGGCTTGCTCAGACCACTGACCCACACATCTTTCAAGGTCCAGTCCACTCCAGCCACGTAGCCTGCAGTATCCCGCTTCCTTTGATCCATTTGTCCATAGCGTTCCCTTGCAACCTGTTATGTGCTGTCTTGCCTCCAGTTTGGGCTTGATGTTTGGAGACTGAGGAATGCTATTTATCTTTGTTCTCCTCACTGTGCCCGTCTCAGGGGCATGCAGTGGGTGCTCGGCAAATGTTTATTTAAATAAATATTTATTCTTCAGGCACTCGGTAAATGCACGAACACTTGACGAAGTAAAATTCGGAAAAGTGACTCTGCTCTTCTTTTTTCTCTCTAGTTACAAGTTATTTCCAAACTGTGTCCCCTCCTTTGGGTTCCGTCACCTGCTGCCTCTCACAGACAGAGTCGACAGCTTCAATGAGGAAGTTCGGAAACAGAGGGTGTCCCGGAACCGCGATGCCCCCGAGGGGGGTTTTGATGCAGTGCTCCAGGCAGCTGTCTGCAAGGTAACTTCCTGGCCCTGGCCCTGCGTGGGCAGGTCTAGAGAGAGAGCCTCAGTGTGGATGGACACTGGCACTTGCTGCGGGAGATGGTAAAATCTGAGCGGCCCCAGTGTGCAGCTCCATCCACTCTCACGTCAGAGGAGGAGCTCAGTGGACTGGAATACTGCAGCAGCGAACCAGCTGGAGCTGGGGTGGCTGGGCTGGTGTGCGTCTCTGTGTCAGGGTGTGGCTGTGTGCAGTGGGAGACTGTCTTTGCCAGAAGACAGCTGTGCCGTGTTTACGTATGTGTTTGGTTTTTTTGCTTCTTTGGGGGAAAAAGGTAAAGGTCAAGTCATACACATAGAATCTTGTAGTTTTCTAGCCCAATTTTGGTCCACTTTAGAGATGCCACTATTGGGGAAGCTGGTTGAAAAAGAATTTCACAACGTCTTTGGTTGCATTTCTATGTATTTTGTTTTTCTCCGGCTTCTCTACAATACATGAATCCAGAGGGAGGACATGGTCGTAGGTCAGAAATGAACTCATGCTTTTCAGAGGTTCCAATTTCAGCAAAATACTGGGTTGCTGGAAAAGTCATGACGCATTTTTGCCTAGAAAAACATTGAAAAATATGTCATGACTTTTCCAGTGACCCAATATACAAATGAAAGGTGGATGGTGACTTATTAAAATAATTTTCTACTGTTGGAACAACCCAATAGCAACAACAACAAAAAAATCAAAATTAGTCTCAAATTTGCTACTGTAACACATGCTTTAAAAATTGTTGGGTTTTGTATATACATTTCCCATATTTCTACAGTAGCCATCAAAGAGTGTGTATAATTGGTAAAGTTGCTGGAAAATTCAGGCAGGTTCGGCCCTAGGCAGTGCTAGAGACTCCTGTGTCTGGAAAGGCCAGAAGGTCAAGGGGGGAACTCAGTTTGGAGAGGCTGCCTGTGGCAGCTGCTGCCCATTTATGAGGAGATGAGCGTGTCATTGTCTGTTACATAGTTTCTGACCTCTCTGTTACATAGTTTCTGACCTCGGAGGACTGGATTCAGGGTGTCACGGACTCACTTTTTCTCTCCACCCAATTCTTAGCAGGATGAGACAGCCACAGTTATCCTTTCTGGAGTAAACTCACATGGTAGACAGAGGAAGACGGGAAGGAGGGCTATACAGCAAGTAGCACAGGCTCCTGTGGCCCTTGGGCCCCTGTCGTTCTGCCCACTGCGGAGTTCCTGGGCCCATCCTGGAGAGGAAGGTACTGGTGGCTCCCTGTCTAAGATGGCAGTGAAGTGGCCTCTTCCCAGCTTGTTGGACAGAGCCAAATGGTTTAATTCCAAGGACCCTCGTGTTTTCAGCAGCATGAGAAAGCCAGATAAACAGCTAGGATGTGTGCAACTCTGGAGCTTTCGAACATTTCATAATAGTTTATTAATCGATTCTGGAAGAAAAGTTATATTTTTGACTGGCATTCAGATACTGATTGTAGGAGGTATTGTCTTCACGGACATTCAGCCAAATGCTGCTTCTTGATAGAGAACAGTGCAGGGAAGATCTAAGGTCCTCTTCATCTTCCTACCTTGAAAATTTTCAGGATTTTCTTTTCTCAGGGAAGGAAATCATCTTCAAGACTCAGGGAAAGGAACCCAGATATAGGCCTGAGCACTGTCCAGTGATAGCCATCGGGGCCTCATTGACTGCTTGAACCATAGCGGTCTTCGAGAAGCCATTTGGTCCACTCTGTGCCACCAGAACCTTCCTCTGCCATCCTCGATGGATGAATTACCCCTTTAAAGCTCAGTATTTCAAAAGTCAAGAATTTCAGAGGAAATGGAAGCAGATTTCCTAAACTCATTGCCTGAACCTGGTACTAGGGAGGCACTTTATGAGCATGTGCCAGCTTTATGCCTGTTAAAGTTTTCTCACTCCTCATCCTGGCCTTTGCAACAGGGAATACCCGGAAAGTTAATCATTGCTTAGAATTATGCAATCTGTGACCCACCAGCTTCTCCCTTCACCTTGACTTTTCTTTCGTGCTGTCAGTTCACGTTTAGTTATATATCAGGTAATTTCTTTCTGACTTTAATCACCTATTTATATCTATTAGATCATTGGAAAAGTCATGATGCTTTTTTTTTTTTTTTTGCATAGAAAAACATTTCATGACTTTCCCGACAACCCAATATAATAAACTTCTAATAAATGCCATCCTTTTTGATTTACCACAGTTTTACTTATAGTAGAAAAATATTGGAAATAGATTATGGACCACCTTTTTTTTTTTTTTTTTTTGGAGAGGGTTTTGCTATAGGGCGTGTGCGCTCGCCAGACAGACAGAGAGAGACAGAGACAGAAAGCGAGAAATCACCCCCCAGGGGGGATGACCACATCGCAATCCCTTCTCCTCCATTCTCCTCTCAGGCTCTTGGGCACGCACGCACACGCGCCCGGCGGTGTACCACCGGGTCCGGGACGCGAACTGTGGTCGACTACATGGGATTCCAGCGACATAGCCATTACGCTAACTGCTGGTTCCCTGGACCACCTTTTGATAAAAGACTATGCAACAGTTATGCCATTAGAAAATATTTAATGACTTGAATTATACCTAAGATAAATTAGGGAGTGGGTACAAAGCAGGTTATAAAACAATATGGACTGGGGGCCAATGATGGCGAGGTGTTTAAGGCACTGGACTCCAACATGGCCAACTGTGGTTCTAGTCTTGGACCTGGCAGGTTGCTTTCTCACTCTCTGTCTGTCTGTCTCTTTCTCTGGTGAGGTCACATGCCTTGTGGCAAATTAAAAAAAATAATAATGATAAATAAAATGAAATAATTATTGAAAAAAACCAGTATGGACTGTATGACCCTATTTTGCCAGGGAAAAATTTTTGTGGACGATGATAACAGTAGTTTTCTCAGGTGATAGGATTATGTATGGTTTTTATTTTTTTTCCTGGTGTTTTAAAATTGTTTATTTACTTAAACCTCCACAATAAGTATTTATGACTTATTTTTTAGAACATTTCAAATATACAAAAATAGGGGAAATGGTGAAATTTAAACCCAAGTACCCATTGCTTATTGTTGATGACTACCAGCTCTTGGCCAATCTTGTTTCGTTTGTACTCTCAAACACCTTATTGAAGCAAATCTCAGATATCACCCGTAAGTCCTTTGTTTAAATCTCAGATGTCATTTGTAAGCCCTTTGTTTTGAGTTTTGTGCCTGCGCCCAATCTGCCCAGATTAAGGCCCTGAATCTTGCATCCTGAGTGCAATGGAGGGAGCCATCTGGAACCTGCCGCACTTGGCTGTGTGCCTTGTGAGGCCTGGAGTTAGTGGACGGCCCTGGAAACACAGCACGCTCTGCTTCCTCTGACCCTGCGCCCTTGGCGACGCCGATCACGGGCCTAATCACCGCGCCACAGCGAGCTCTTGCCGGGGCTGAGGGGCTTCATTCTCAGCCCTGTTTCCATGGGATGGACTGGTGGTTATCAGCTAGTGAGATTTAGAGATATGGGTTATGCACAGGGCTTTATTTTGCATACTTAAGATTCCATTTATATACATTTCTTTTTGTCTTCTTTTACTCGTCAGTTCTTTACCTCTATGACCTGTTGTGTACAGAACGATAAGAAAGAATCTACCTGTTTCTGTTTAGGGTTCTATTTAGGACAAGGCCCCGTTTTTTTCTGAGTGGAAGTTTTAAGTTATTTTCTTTTCCCTCTGGGCAGTTCACTCAAAAAAAAAAAAAAAAAAAAAAAAGGGGCCTTTCTCATCAATGGCGGCATTTT